GCTAGACGGTACACGTGTTTTTCGAATCGTTTTCAGTTAAAAAACTGTTACATCACATGTATATTTTACCTTAACTGTGCCTGAATGAATATATTCTCGGAAATAAATAGTAGTTTTGCTGAAACGTGATATATTTTAATGTAAAATAGGATAAAATACATGACGAAAACAAAAGATTTTACCTGACCTTCCGATGTTCAAGAGAAGTTACTCGTTTTTTTAATAGTTTTTGGTTAAAATACTGTTATATTACAATGGTATTCTATTCATACTGTGCTTGATATAATGCATTCACGGAAATGTAATATTTTTGCTGAAATGACGTACGTATTACAGTGGAAAGTGGGATAAAATCGTGACGAAAACAATGACTTTCACTTTCTTTCGTTCAAAAGATGTTACCGTAATCGCTTTACGATTGGTTTTCAGTTAAAAAGCTGTTGTATTACAATAATATTCTATCCTAATTGACTTGAATAAATGCTACGATACCATATTTCTGAATATTTTCATTAAAATCCATCCAAATCATTTTCCTTGTCATCGCCTGCAGCACCAAACAGCTTCTCCCAGTCCTCTCCTTGAACAGGGCTAGAGGGTACGTGTTTTTCGGATTGTTTTCAGTTAAAAAACTGTTACATCACACGTATATTTTACCTAAACTGCGCCTGAATGAATATATTCTCGGAAATAAATACAGTGGGGTATGCTATAACGAACGTAATTGGTTCCAGAACCTCGTTCGTTATAGCATTCGTTCGTTATAGGATTAATCCGTTCCAGGCCCCCAAATACAACCACTTAACACTGAAAAAATTCTGTGGAAAATGTAAAAAATACGGTACTTTATCTTACCTTAGTGTTATTCAGCATGCAGGTACCCCTAAACACTGGCACATCACTATCACTTCCACTGGGAGTCTTGGCTTTAAGGTCCTCAAACAATTGTTTAGCCTTCTCACAAATTATAGCTTCACTAATGTTACCACCTGCCATTTCTTTCTCCTTTATCCACACTAAGAGTAAATTTTCCATCTCTTCAATCACATTACACTTTGCTTTGCTAAGTCTAAAGATTCCCTTAGCCACTTGCACAGTTTTTAACTCCTCTTTATTCTTCAAAATCGTACATATAGTCGATTTAGCCATCCCATATTCATCACTAAGTTTCGCAATGCTTCTTCCATTCTCACGTTTCTTTATAATTTCTTTCTTAGTTTCAAGGGTTATTAGCTTTCTCACTCGCTTTGGACGACTCATTGTTACAATTGTATACTTGTATAACAAAATAGTTATACAAATAACGCGAATTTCCACATCAAAAGACGAAATTTCAACAATAACAGTGGTGCACTGGCTACACAATGAGACAAAGATGGCGCCTGACGCTCTTGTTGTGGGTCGCGGTACAACAATATTCATGCGCCAGGCGAAATAGTCCCGTATTCATCCGCGTTCGTTGTAGGAGTTGCGTTCGTTATAGCATTCTCAATTTTATAGGTAAAACCGTTTGTTATAGGAATATTCGTAGTAGGATCCGTTCGTTATAGCATACCCCACTGTAGTAGTTTTGCTGAAACGTGATGTATTTCAATGTAAAATAGGATAAAATACATGACGAAAACAAAAGACTTTACCTAAGCTTCCGATGTTCTTGAGATGTTATTCGTTTTTTAATAGTTTTCGGTTAAAATACTGTTATATTACAATGATATTCTATTCATACTGTGCTTGATATAATACATTCACGGAAATGTAATATTTTTGCTGAAATGACGTACGTATTACAGTGGAAAGTGGGATAAAATCGTGATGTAAAGAATGACTTTCACTTTCTTTCGTTCAAAACATGTTACCGTAAATACTTTACGAATGGTTTAGTTAAAAAACTGTTGTATTACAATAATATTCCCTCCTAATTGACTTGAATAAGTACTTGAATGGAAATATACAATATTTTTGTTGAAACTACCCGCGTTTCAGTGTAAAGTGTCGTAATAATAAATGGTAAACAATTTGGCTTCGCCACTCGGTGTTTCAGGCACAGCGAGCCTCAGTTTATAGGACGTAGAGTGTTTTTACTGAAGGTTTTGTTGTTCCATTACCCTCAAAAACGTGGGTCGACCTATAAACGAGGAATATCATAAATTAACGATTTCTTGGTCAAAAAATCAGGGTCGACATATAAACGAGGGTGGGTGGGGTTATAGACGAGTATATGCGGTATGCAAGGCTAAGGACAAACTCACTGCATTTTCTTTGAAATATAATGCAATATTAACCCCTAAATCGGTTAATTCGGACAATCGGCTAAAACGGACACCCTTCCCCCCTATTAGTCCGAATTAACGACGAATTAACGAGGGTTGACTGGTAATTTTTTTTTTTTAATAATTTAGCTGGCTTTTGTGTGTATGTGCACATGCGTGAGCACCACAGCTGCACAGTGACAACAAGCGACCATGCGGTTGCCACTTTAAAACGAGCAATCAAACTCCGACAACGTATGTAATTTTGAGTCCTACTCTTTCCATTTACAGAGTACAGTTGTACCCCGCTTAACGCTGTCAATTGAACCCACAGGGTACCGCGTTAAGTGAAAACCGCGTTAAGTGAACAACAGAACAGAACAATTATGATGTGGTATATCTCGACTTTTAGCAAAGCCTTCACAGAGTCCCCCACTTAAAGACTACTAGAAAGGTAGAAGCTCATGGCATCAAAGGTGACATCCTTAAATGGATTAGGGCGTGGTTACAGGACAGGAAACAGCGAGTGAGCATTAACGGCACTAAGTCCCATTGAGCAACGCCACAAGTGGAGTTCCCCAAGGCTCAGTACTTGGACCATTATTATTTATTATATACATAAACGACATAGATATCGGCATAGACAGCAACATAAGTAAATTTGCTGATGACACTAAAATAGGACGGTTATCAAATCTGGACGAGACTCGCAAAACTACAGGAAGATCTAAACAAATTTTTCGACTGGTCTGAAAAATGGCAGATGAAATTCAACGTGGACAAACGTAAAGTACTCAGTATAGGAGATGCAAACAGGGAAACCAGTTACCAGATGAACAACGATGCCATTGAAAAATCCGACTGCGAGAGAGATTTAGGAGTAATGATAAGTAGGAACCTTAAGCCAAGTAAACAATGTATATTTGCTCGAAACAAGGCTAATAAAGTATTTGGGTTCATACAAAGGAGTGTTAGTTACAAGACTAGCGAGGTCATCCTAAAACTATATCTTGCACTTGGATTACGCAGTTCAGTTCTGGGTCACCGTATTACAGAATGGATATAGAATCCTTGGAAAGAATTCAGAGGAGAATGACAAGACTAATCCCGGGCATTAGGAAACTTGAGTATAGAGACAGGTTAAAGCATCTTAATTTGCACTCCCTCGAGAGACGTAGAGCGAGGGGCGACCTGATAGAGGTGTATAAGTGGAAGACAGGGCTAAACAAAGGGGACATTACAAAGGTACTCAAATTATCCAACCAGGTGCGAACTCGTAACAATGGTTTTAAATTAGACAAATTTAGATTTAGGCGTGAAATAGGTAAACACTGGTTTGGAAACAGAGTAGTGGATGAATGGAACAAGTTACCAAATATCATCATTAACTCGAATACGCTGAATTGCTTCAAAAATAGGTTGGATGCTCATATGAGCAATAGGGGTTGGGTGTAAACGGGACTGCCAGTATGGGCCAATAGGCCCGCTGCAGTTTCCTCCATTCTTATGTTCTTATGTTCTTATATGATTAATTCCAATAGAGACTGGCCCGACGAACTCCACTTTTTGACGACACACAACTATGTTGTAGTGAAAAATATTATCTTAACTTTATGATGGTATGCACACAATTAATAATTAAGAGAAATATCAATAATATTAGGTTTTTTAACACTTACATTAGTAGAAAAGATGGCTGGGCACACGGGGATGGGGGGTTGGTTCCGAGGCAGAGGGCAGATTATTGGCCCTCACCTGTATCACTTGAATCAATTGTATCACTATCCACCACAGAGGCTTGCAGGGCCTCTTTGTCAAACCCCTCAAAGTCCATATAAGTCCATATCCTCACTATAATTATCACTATCACTGACTTGGGCCGGCTGTGGTGGGTGGCGGGTGAAGAACTCGGTAATGTTTTGATGACTGGGCGACCTTGTGCGCATCGTGCCCGCGCCGCTTCCCTCGTATATGAGTAGATGAACCGCATTAAGTGAAAGTTCGGTTCTGGCGAGGCACCGCGTATATGAGAATTCGCGTTAAGTGAAACCGCGTTAAGCGGGGTACAACTGTACTGTACAAGCCCATAATAATGGCTCCTAAAGTAGATAAACTTCGTTGTGCGAAGAGAAAGAAGAACACATTGAAACTGAGTGACAAACTTGAAATAATTATGAAACTAGAACGTGGTGTGAGTAGTACTGTTCTAATGGAAACATACGACATTGGAAAGTCTACAATTTATGATATAAAAAAGGCAAAGAATAAAATTCTAGAATTCAGTTTTTTTTTTAAAACTGCTCGTTTGGATAAATGAAGCATGTTATATTTGCTAATGAATAAACTATCAAAATGTACCTGTTCATCTCTTCTTTATTCCTCCTTAAATTTGAATTTTAAAAGTACTGCCTGAGAATCCGGAAAATCCGAAAATCCGGACCGACCCAATCCCCAAGCAGTCCGGATTTTTGGACTTCTACTGTATCATTAAAGTGAATTTTTCTGATGGTTTATAGGGAGATGGTCTTAATTCATGACCATCATTAAAGCGTAATATCGCTGAATGAGAGAGAGAGTTTATCAAGGTTTACCTAGTAGTTGGTCTTGTGTACAGTTCTGTATGGTATTTGTATATTTTTAAGCCTGTGACTTTACTGCCTTTTGTGAAAGACTAAGACTAAACTTATTTCATGAATAGATTAATAAATTACATTTAGATAATATACTGTATACTATACTTGTAATGGTCAGTTTCAGAGTGACTACAACTGGAACCAGAGTGACAGGTGCTGTGTTGTGGCAAGCTATGAATAATGGAGTGTGGAGAGGCTGATTCAATTACCATCATTTCCAGGGTAAGTGATAGTCTTCTTGTATAGTAATATTTGTGCTTTCATTACATATCTAGCTGCAGAGGCAGAAATCTTCACTTGACTCTCCATTTATAACAATAAAACTTAATCTCCAATTATTATGTTAAGTAAATGATCAATGTAATATTAATATGGATTGGACAGTGTTTTATGATAGCAGACGGGAGGGACCAAACTACAGTACAGTGCCTTCAAGAGAGTTCAGTTCTCAACAGGTACACCACCGATTTTCCGGGAACTGATGGTCCGGCACCTCCTTTAGTCCGGACAAAATTACAAGAGGGCACTTAACTTCCCTTCCTCCCTCCCAGCCAGGGTGAAGGTAGTGTTTGGCTTAAAGTTTTTACTTTATAAAATGTAGCTGACTAGACTTAGAATATAAATTGCATTGCTGGAATCCTTGTAAGATAGTGATTAATTTGAGTATAAACATCACATAGTTTACACAAGAGATAAATATTTTAGTCCTTTAGTGTTGTACATTTGAGAACAAAGTTTGTAAAGTAATATGTTGCTCAAAATTATGGCTTTTTCACATTTAATTTACATTTAACATTTGTTTAATTAAAATTTCTATCAGTCCATGGTGCTTTAGAAACACAGGTGTATAATTAGTGGGTCAGAGGTGTATTGTTGAATTATTATTACTGACCTCGGTTGGTCCGGCAAAATGGATAATCGAGCAAGGCTTTGGAACCAAGGGTGCCGGAAAATCGGTGGTGTGTATTGTATTATGATTTTTATCGACTCTGTATCTGTATTCTTATGGCGAAATAAACTTTTCAATACCAATATCGGTAAATGATTAGTAGAACGTGAGATCTTAAAGGATGAAAACCAGTGCCTCAGTTGGCAGATTATTACTGTTCTGCCTTCAATATGCTGTACAGTCGTACTACTTATACTTTGCTGCCACTCAGAATTGAGTATGATGATCATACAGCTATGATACAATAATATGAGTTACTAAGGTTATCATCTTCATTGGCGAGTTCTGAGGTGACTAAAGAGGCCGAGACTGGACCGGCAGAGTCGTTGACAGATGTTGCACATATGGGGGACTACATCTAGTGCGGGACGAGCAGCGCCAGTATCTTTCCGGTGTTGGCGCTTGTCTGCCTTAGGGTGCAGTCGGGCTAACTCAAAAGTTTTGACACCCCCTTGTATGGTGCCCCTCCAAGCATTACGGTGTGGCGCAATCATCTCCCAGGTGAGGGGGTCAATTTGGCACTTTTTCAGGTTTGTCTTAAGACTAACCTTATACCTTCTCAGTTGCCTGGCAGCATTATGTTTACTGCTTGTTAAGTGACTGTAAAGTAGCTGCTTTGGCAGTCTACTGTTGTTCATGTGGGTAACATGGCCAGTCCAGCGTAGTTGTTCATTGATAATGGTAACCTTGATGCTCCTACAGTTGGTGTCTGAGAATATTGGCATTTGGTCTATTGTCTTCCCAGCGAACTCGGAGGATGGAACGTAGACTACGTTGGTGAAAGTTTTCAAGTGCCTTGAGGTGCCTCCTGTATGTGACCCATGTCTCCCTGCCATATAGCAGGGTGGGGAGGACCACTGCTTGATATACGTGTAACTTTGTAGATAATTTCAGCTCCATACAGCTGAAGACACGGGTACGGAGTCTGCCAAAGGCTTGGGATGCACATCTGATCCGATGTTGAATCTCTTCGTCGATGTTCGCAGTGGTGGACAGGTGGGAACCTAGATACCGAAAGTGGGTAACATTAGAGAGGGTAATACCGTTAAGTTGGATGAATGGTGGAGGTGTGGTTGAACCAGGGGCTGGCTGAAAGAGATTCTGAGTCTTATGTACCTTCACCTCAAGGCTGAAGTGTGCATATGCATCTGTGTAGGTGTTCAGGATCTCCTGTAGGTCGCATTCAGTGTGAGCAACAAGGGTGAGGTCATCTGCATACTGAAGTTCAGTAATAAAAGCTGCCGACACCTTTGTTACTGCTTGAAGTGGTCTTATGTTGAAAAGACCGTTTAGCCGATACTCGGTGTCCATCCCGCTGGCTAAATTGGCACTGGCACGAGTAAGAAGGGCATCCAAGAAAATGGAAAAGAGAGTTGGTGCCAGTACACATCCTTGTCTTACCCCCATTTGGATGGGGAAGAACTCAGACTGGGTGCCATTATGCAGGACACTGTTGTTCATGCCATCATGGAGTTTTCTCACAATGGTGATGAATTTTGGTGGGCAGCCAAAATGGCTAAGGGTCCACCAGAAGGCTTCCTTGTTTACTGAGTCGAAGGCCTTGGTTAGGTTGATGCAGGCCCTGTACAGGTCACAATGCTGTTCTCTGCACTTTTCCTGTATCTGGCAGGCAGCAAAGATCGTGGCAGTGATGCCTCGTGATGATCTAAAGCCACATTGAGATTCTAGGAGGAAATTTTTTGCTTCAAGAAGAAGTCTGTTTAGGAGGACTCGGGCAATAATCTTGCCAGCTACGGAGAGCAGCGAGATCCCACTGTAGTTGCCACAGTCTGAACCAGTCTTATAAATATTGACAATGGAGGCATCTTTAAGAGCCTTTTTTTTTATGGGGATTAGCCCACCTGGGCACAGGTCACTGACCCACATCGGGGTCTAGGGGGCAAAAATGTAACAATAATAAGAAAAATAATAATAAAGAACCATAAAGAAATCCAAAAATAAAAATAAAAATCAAGAGTGAGAAACAATATATGTATGTTGTGTTGTCAAAGTAAGAGAAATAATTGAGACTCTGCAATTGTGTGTAAATGAGGCAGCAAGTCAGATCAGCATCCTGGGACTTGGTCACAATTTTTGTGATGCCATATGGCAGCAGGGTCTACCATTAGACAACACATTATACTTCCAATATCTTCCCAGGTGGTAGTACCTCACTGTTTGGTAGCTACCTACTACCATTGGGGGATTTCTCCCTTTTCCCATATATTCTCCAAGAAAGAGTGGAGACGGCTGGTAAGTAGAGGTCCTCCTGCTTTATACACCTCGTCTGGGATTCCATCAGGCCCTGAGGCATTGCTATTTTTCATCTGTTTGGTGGCAGTCGCTACCTCATCCTGGGATGGAGGATAGCTGAGGTGGATCAGTGATAACTCTGTTAGCCAGAACAATCGGTGCAGACCACTTCCGGGAATGAGAGATTTAAGGGTATCGAGATGACTCTCTCAAAGCCGGAAAAAATCCCTAATCCCCGAAATTTTCCTGATTTTTCCATGTAACATAAAAATGTCCTCGTAAGTTCCAGAAATTGCCCATTACATCGTATCTCGAACCCGGAAAAATTTCCCCCATCCCCGTAAATTTCCGGACACTGCACCTGGTTTTCATCTCTCGAATCCTACCCCATACCTGGAATTTCCGGCTATCGGGAAATATTTTTAAAGATTTTCTTCAGGAGTTTCCGGCACCCAGCTGGATATTGCAGGAGTGGTAACACTACCGCTATGGTTTTCTAAACGTGGTAAACCATTTCCTGCAGAGTTTTATAAAGTCAAGGACTTTAACTTACCAGCTGATGGACTAATTGGTCTTCCAACGCATAAATGCAGACATAATAGATGTCCAGCCAAGTTGACATACTATCACTTTTTGTGGCATTACCTATCATGCCATGCACAATTCTGTTCCATTGCTCATTGCTAGGGTAAATGTTATAAAAAATTCTGCTACTACGAGGAAGATAGATTCTCAGTGCATCCCAGACCCTACCGACTCATTTACCCAGCGTGATTTTAGCAGCAACAATTGGGTAGTAGTACCTGCAGTCTTAACACATACCGTATTTTTCGGCTTGGAAGACGCTGCATCGTGGAAGACGCACCCTGATTTTGGAAATGAAATTCTAGTTTTTTTTTTTTTATACAGGTATTAGCCCACCTGGGCACAGGTCACTGACCCACATCGGGGCCTAGGGGACGAAAATGTAATAATAATAATAATATTATTATTATTATTATTGTTATTATTATTAATAATATTAATAATAAGGAACCATAAAGAAATGCAAAAATGAAAAAAAAATATCAAGAGTGAGAAACAATATATGTATGTTGTGTTGTCAAAGTGAGAGAAACAATTGAGACCCTGCAATTGTGTGTAAATGAGGCAGAAAGTCAGATCAGCATCATGGGACTTTGTCACATATAGCATCAGGGTCTACCATTAGACAATACATTATGCATCCAATATCCTCCCAGGCAGTACTACCTCCCTGTTTGGTAGCTACCTACACCAGTGAAACCGTTGCTTGACATAGAGCCCTTTTGGCACAAGTACACACACCTCTTTGAATATCATCACTTAGAACTGATTATCAGTTGTCATTTTCATCATTTAAAAAAAAAATCTGTTTAAGAAGGTGAAATTTTTAATACAGCACTCATTTTGTACACTTGGTCACCTCCACGTCTAGCGGCCTGTAGTGTTTACATTCTTTCTCTTGTTTTTGTCGGCATGACAACGACGGGAAATATTTTCCAACAGTAGAAGGTAAGCAAATGTAAACATGTACTGTATATGAACGTCTAAATAAAACAAAAAATCTTTATTTAAAAACAAAAAATTACAAGTAAAAAAAAACTTTGTAAAAATCAGTTGAATTAAAATTTTTGGTAAGCAAACAATAAAAATAAAAAAAAATTGTAAATCTCTAAATATCATGTTCAGTAAAATAGTTAAAAGCATTTTATTCATCTTCAAATACTAAGAACTCGTCACTGTTAGGTTCATCACCAAGCTCTGAATCATCACTGGAGGAAATATCATCATCACTACTGTCAGTCTCGTACAACAAGTTGTCTTCAGTGCCATCCATAGCATTACTGATACCACATTTTTTGAAAGACTTAACGATAACTTTAGTTTTAATATCATACCATGACTTCAGCACCCATTCACACACTTTAGATATTGATGGACGTTTCATCCTTCCAGTCGGCGTCATATCATGATTCCCCTCTGTCATCCATTTATTCCATTGCTCCCTCATGTCATTCTTAAAGGGCTTATTAATGCTGACATCTAGCAGCTGTAACTGGGAAGTCAGGTCACCAGGAATTACTGCCAGCTGTGTGTTGAGCCCCCTTTGCTAGCCTTTTGGTGTTTTCAGTCCTGTGAGCACTAAACTGATCCCATACTAGCAGTGAATTCTTTCGTAGCAGGCAACCAGGACGCTTGGACCACACTTTATCCAACCATACCTTGACACCTTCTCCATCCATCCATCCCTTGGGTTATACAATGACATGAATTCC